CATTAATAAGACTTTTATTCATTATATTTTGACTAAATGCAATTTTTAACATTTTAGTCAAAACACTATATTTGCCTTTTTCTCCTTAAACAACTTTCAGATTTAATCCTGGTTTTGATGTGACGGGTCACATATTTGAGATGAATTACAATCATCCTATTTACAACGTGTTCACATGTTTAAGACTTCTGACAGACTGATTTAAGACATTTTAAGGCTAATTAAGGCCTTATTTTTGGACTGAAGAACTGAATGATTTTAAGTGTTTTTAAGGCTCTGCAGGAACCCTGGCTAACGTTGAGGCTCATTAGCTCATGTTACAAACTCCTGTCCAACCTGAGCAGCAGTGTTGGAGCTCTCCACCTCCACACTGGAGCAGTTTCCTGCACAGAAGACACTTACCTTGCCAGCGTGGCTCTTCACTCAGGATTTTCTCTATGAGGGCTGTGCTGGCTGCTTGTCCCGACTGCCCGTCTCCACCACTGCCCTCTGTTGCTCCTGAGCCTCCCTGAGACTCCATCACCTGCACCTCCCTGTAGAAAACAGACACACAATAAGCAACAGGAGAGGTGTAAGTGTAGAGTTGACCTCCCAGCTCTGCACACCTGATATCATAAACGGGGCTGCGCAGGTCATGTGATCCGTGAGCAAAGGCACAGTGGGAGCCATTCTTGGTGCAGTGGCCTTTAGCGTCTGTTTCATGAATACATGAACCTGTTTTGTAGTAGCGAAGGTGATATCTTCGCTCCGTGTCACCTGCTGTACGATGCAGAAAGGGACATCTGGAACAGAGAGACAAATCAATTAAAACACAAAAAGTTTAAATATAAATCCTTTAAAGAAAGATGGGACAAAGGTCATTTCTCTACAGCTATATTCCTCATCACTTTTATTATCTTTTACTTGTATTTTCTTTGTGTAAAGGTGTCAGCAGGCGCTCCCTGGTGAGCATAAATAAGGTACGAATGTTACATGTGAAGAACATGGATGAGAATAAAAGACAAGGCATCTTCAGCCACCTTTGTGTTGTTATGATGTGACCATTGTTGGTGGTCTGAAAGCCACTCCTAGCTTCAATAAAAACCCTCACTTGTTGAAGGAACGCATCAGCGTCATGCATGTTAAAATCTGAAAGGGTCAGTATCATGTAAAATCAACTGTTTTTAGTTTTATATCATGTTATAATGTTATACTCTGATAAAAACATGTCCAAAGCCTTG